CTGACGGTTTCTATTCCAGTCAACTCTTCCTTAAATTGCTAAAAATAAAATGAATTCTCGTCTGAAGTTGGTAAATGGTCTTTCTCAAATAATCTCAAACAAAACCCTTCTAAATGTCACACTGTTAATTTTAACCTCAGGCGTAAACAAGACTTATGTGAGCTGTTTAAATCTCATGACGCCTGCTGCATCGATAGCATTTCTGCAGGAAGTGAATCAAATGTGAACTATTTTGGGTTGCGTTTTACTTCTAACCTTTGTTGGTCGTCCCATATTTTATTGACTTGTGAAAAAATCTTTCGTTTAATCTATTACGTAAATAAATTGAGGCTTTCTGGTATAACTCAACTGCTTCTTTTACAATTTATCAATCCCTGCATCTTACCTATTCTTCTACATTGTTCCCCATTAATCTTTCCTGGTCTTCTTAAAAAGGACTATGTTATGTTGCGTAGGGCTTTGAAGACCGTCAGCAGGGTGAGTGGTGTGTCTCTGGCTCAACTGATTAACACTGTAGTTGATTGCTATATAAATTTCTGCAAGCTACTAGCTACAGAAATTTTAACCAACAGTGAGCATCCACTTCATTCACAGCTCTCTCCATGTATCTCCTCAGGGAGGGCAAAGAGAAATTACATAAGACTGTATGTTCGTACAGCTAAGTATAAGAATTCGACTGTACCTTACCTTGAACGCGTATTTTGTGATAGTTAAAAATCTCATTTCAATAATTTAACTTTCAATGCAAAATTTTCTCGTTTTTAATATTCTACACATAACTTTAATTTTTATGATAAAACAGTTCAAAAGGCTGCAAAGTAGTATGTATATTCTTATATTTTGCTGTTATTGCACTATATATGACGCTGAGAATTCCAAATTGTACCACAAATTATTATTATTATGAAGGAAATTTAATTACCAAAGAAGAGCAACAAAGGAAACGATGGGCTGACCACTTCACAAAGCTCTTGAATCGACCATCACCACCTGCAGCTCAGCTACAGAACTACAAGTGAACACAATTCCTCCAACAAAAGTCGAAGTCCTGAGCGCCATGTGGCTAGTGAAATGCGGGAAAGCAGCAGGACCAGATGGAATCCCGCCAGAAGCACTGAGGGAGGACACAGCGACAACAGCGGATATGCTCACACCACTATTGCAGGGGGTTTTGTAGAAGGAAAATGTAGCTGCCTGTCGATTAGAAGATAGGCTTCCTGGTTTAACTCCTAAGGAAATGAAACCTGAGTGTCTGCAACAACCGTAGAGGAATCATACTGTTGCTTACCCGAAGTAAAATATTATGCTGCATCATGCTGGAGAGACCAAAGACAAGTCAGTGCTTCTGTATGGCTCAGAGATTTGGCGTGTTGCGATAGGGATTTCCAACAAACTACAAACTTTCATCAACAACTGCCTACGCTGGCTCGTTACTGAAGATGAGATGCCCAGAAAGAATCAGCAACAAGGAACTCTGACTGGCTGGCAACGAACCAACCAAGAACTTATCGCTCAACAAATATGCAGAAGGAATTGGAGATGGATTGAACTGGGCATGCACTGAGAAGACCATTCGGAGACATCACGTGTCAGGCCAGGCGATCGAGTGGAATCCAGAGGGGAAGCGACGAGTTGGGCGTCCGAGTGTGACATGTACGAGATCGTGTGAGGAAGAAATGAGAGCTTGTGGGCTGTCGTGGCGACAGGTTCAAAAGATTGCAGATAACAGAGTGCACTGGAGACGTGCTACTGAAGCCCTATGTTCCATTAGAAACTCAAAGGACACTCTCGACTGACTAAGAATTAGAGTGTGTATTGACTATGTTAAACCTGTCTATATTCTTCGTGCCAGAATAAGCTCTGCTGTAGTGAGTGTTACTGACCAAAATGGATATACGTATTATATATTGAGAGGGCTGCTGTAATCATAGGGAATTACGAGCAATGGGTAAGGATTCTGCCCAGAGAAACGCAAGAGACAATGCGAACGTGTTAAGAGGAAATGAGGATAGATGTAGCGGAGGAAATGAAGCACATTATGCAAATGACTATCTTAGTGCACCATATTTGATAACTACTGTACAAGATGCCAATAATAAGTATTACTTCCTTCGTCTCTATCTTCTTGATTCCTACACTGCTTCTGATGCAGCTTCATTATCCACCTACTCATTCCTGTTCGCTTGACAGTTTCTCTGTCTTTGTTATGAGACTTACTCACGTTAGCCTACCGGTCTTTCTGCACTTTGACAATTATGCACATAACTACAAATTTGACAGTATATCTTTTAAAAACTATATTTCATCTGTCCTTCGACCCTTGACCATTGTTCAATAAATATCATGCACATGTTGTATTCTGTGCCGAAGTGAATTGAAGCTGATTTCTAGAAAAGCCATTGGGACCATAACGTTTTAAGGCTACTTTTCCTTTCGGTTTTCAGATTTTCTACATTCTTTTTCTATTCATCTGTTTAATCCTTCGTATGAGCATCTTCTTAGTTAATTAGTGAAAGTAATTTCTCTTTTCACCATCCGCTTTTCGAAATGCCAACTAACCACAATGATTTTACCAGTAGATCTTATATGTTTAGGATAATCATGAAAAACTTGTCCTGAACACCTACCATTTTATCCACCTCAGTATAATTCCACTGACATTGAGTTGTGAATATTTGCTTTTCGCGTTAAATTATTGATGCCTTCCTTAAGAAAACAGCTGAAAGCCAAAGATGTTTTGTTCCTGGACACACAAAACCTTCACCAGGTATGTAACTGCGCATCAAGTTTCCTCCACTAGTCTTTGTAACATGGTCACTGGCATGTCAGACAGACAGGCAAAATCAACGTAGATCCTAACACGGAAGTGCGTTGGTTGAGGTAACCGCACTTCGGAGCAGTGTGCAAAAGAACAAGGGGATTGAAGAAGGACGACATCGAAAGAGATAAAGGTGTATAAGAGGTAAAGGAGTTTGAAAATGAAACCTTGTGAAGATATTCAAACGTGAGAAGACGTCAACGAGTGAGTACACCAGCCCCATGGTGACCGGTCTTCGGCCATGTCATCAAGAATCTCCAACCATTGATTTTCATCGTTTCGGAAACTGCACCCAGATAGTCAACATCTCCCTCTATGGCTCAGAAGACAGTCAGGGAATTCATGGAATGATACATTCTTTTGGTTTGGTCGTCCTCAGCATCTTTCCAACCTTATTCAACTTCCGCTGACATTTCACGATGAGGTGAGTGGTCACTCGGCATGCGCAACACCTATCGAAGTCACCTCGTTTGGTAAGATTTCACAACCCCATCGACTGACTTACCACTTTGCCCAGTACTTTACGCCTAACCTCCACCTCGACATCACTCATATAGTGGTTCCACCACACTCGAGTACTGCTACGAGAACACCCATGGTCAAAAATCTGTGGTCTCTTTCTACTTTCACTGGCCATGCCTCACCAACGTATAATACGACAGAGCGGACTGCAATCCAGCATACTCGTTTTTTACTAGATAGTTGAATACCTCAACAATCGGCACCAGAGAAGACGTGGGTTGGCAAATACCGAATGGAACTTCTGTATCCGAGCTGAAATTTCATCAGCGACCAGCACCTTCGGACTGAAGCAACTTCCCAAGTAAGGAAAGTGGTCGACGCATCCAACCACTTTGCTCCTTATGCCTCAATTGGGAGTAGCTACACATCAGTCTTCTAGCATCATCTTACATTTCACAGTTGTGAAACGTATGCCAAACACAGACAGATTTCTGCTTAGAGCGTTCAGAAGACTCCGTGTTCTGTCAGTGTCTTCACCTAGCAAAGCACTATCGTCTGCGTGATTCAAATCAAGAAAATGCTGTCGAGAGTAAATTAATCCTTGTGAATTCAGGAGTATCTGAGGTCATTATTACATCTGTATCGAAGGTAAATAGGAATGATGACAACAGGCATCCCTGGTGGACACCAGTAGTTATTGCCTATTCAGATGACAACTGCCTACCAGCCATGGTACAGCCGTGTAAGTTCAAGTAGAGCGCTTTGTTTGGGCCATATACTTGCTGGGTACACACTACACCGTTAGACACTGTCACAACATCTCATGTTTGACAGAGTCAAATGCCACCTTCAGGTCAAGAAACATGACATGTATTGATAGACGAACATTTTATAAGTGCGAACACCGATCTGACTTCAAAGATCTTCCATAACGCCAACCAAGTATAAATCCATCTACACTATTAGACGGGCCGCTAATTGTCCTATCACTTCGATAGGAAATATAATAGTGTACACAATTCGAAAACCACAGACATACATCATCAACAGCTGCCGCCTACGCTCACTCGAAACTGACACAGGAGATCAGATGACTAGAATAATAAGAATCAGCAACAAGGAACTCTAGCTGGCCCTGCGACGAAGTAACCAACAACCTATAGCCCAACAAATATGCAGTAGAATACAGTGGAGATGGATTGGATTAGGCACACACTGAGAAGACCATTTGGGGCATCACGAGCCAGGTTAGGCCGCCGAGTGGAACCTAGATGGGAAACGACGAGTTGGGTGTTCGAGGCGACGGTGAAATTGAGATGGTGTGAGGAAGAAATGAAAGCTTGCAGGTAGTCGTGGAGCCAACTTCAAGAGACTGCAGAGAAGAGAGTGAAATGGAGACGTACTACTGAAGCCCTTTTTTCCACTAGGAACCCAAAGGACAAATATTAATGTTAATAACAATAATAATAATGCACAATTCGCGGACAGGAGTTATCAGATGTTATTTGTAGTTGATTCTTACCCACTATGCTGTACACACACCCCTTCCTAAACTATATTTTTCATTTGCACAGTAATTTTCTTTTATGACTGATGGTTATAATTGTAGTGTTAAAAATGACCAGTCTATGGTATGCAATGTTAAGTGGTTCTTCTCATATTGTTGGCATTCAAAAGATATCACAAAAACTGTCCTGACTTCTGTTCTTCTTTTTATAGCGCGACAAATTATCAATTTATTCCCTGATTATACAGTGCGTTAAAAAAAATGCATCCGATAGGATTCAATTTACTCAGATAGATTGAAAAAACTAAATTGGACATCGAAGATAGATTCAAACAAAGTAAAATTTTTCAAATTCTTGTTTTTACTAAAACATACTACATTTCAAAAGAGGTTTATTATTAAGATTCGTTCTGAGATTATTTCGACTACTAAAGTATCGTTTTACTTCAGTCAGATGTAACTACTTTTTTCACATATCTAATTAACCGGACATCTTTCAAAATATCTTCATGTGTGCTACGTTTCAATATGAACAAGTTGATAGATTTCCAGTTATTACATACAGATAAACTTCGGGTGCCTACCATACCGTCTCCATCGCCATATTTGATTCTTGGTATCTGATTAGGAAATGTTGAACGAAACTTTCCAGATGGCATAAATATCATCTGTGATATTGTAGGCATTTGAATACTGTAAATACAATAGATTTCAACGTCTGTAGGTTGTTCAAATGTATCAATTGATTGTTTAGCAGCTTGCATCATTTCGTAACCTGAAGAAGTAGTGTTCGTTTAAATAAATGATCGAGAGAAATAAGAAGGTATTATGCTATGCTGAATTAGTCTGATATCGTTAGATGTTTTACTTTGCTAAAACATTTCACTAACCGTTTACTAATTTCCCAACGTCAGTTACTCACCACACAACTTTTGCATTCCAATTCCAGTGTATTTATGAGACAAAAAAATAAGCTTTTATTGAATGCTGCGTTACACAGACCACAGCTTGTTCAACAAGAATGTTCTGATGTTAATAATAGTTCAGAATATTTCTGAAAACGGTTACCATGATTGTGTGAACACATTTGAATTAAATCAAATAAAAGACGGCTTAACTGAACTAACTGACAAATTCTTCTACAATACTAATGACAACTATAATTTGGGTGTCGATTCAAATAAAAGTTATCATAATGAAGCTGAAGAATATCGATGATTTCATAGTCAGCTCATACCCCCACTACTGATATGAGTTTCATGTAATATTCTTTTCATTTTAATATTCAGACTGGTCAACAAAGGAAACGATCAGTTATTTGGATCAGATGTACGCTAATTAGATACTATTCGACTAATATCACTTGGACTTCAAGTGTATCAACAAATTTGATAAGGATGTTTAACATCTGGTGATTTTTCTGTCAAGCAAAATAATCATTCAGTGTTCCACCCGCTCCCATCGGTTCGAACATAATATTTAGTGAATCAGGTGTACACTGTGTTGAGATGTTGAAATAATGGTTTAAGTCAATTTATGGTTTTCATACGAGAAAATAAACGCGCAGGTAATTTTCCTGCAGATAAAGAACCTAAGTACAATAACTGTCACATGAATGATGATAGTCGCCTTTCATTTATATTGGCTTAGAAAGTCTACACAAATAAATCCTTGTGTAGAAGGCATGGCAGAGTTTTCATTCCTTACGTGGTCGTGATTGTGCATTGCTGTATAATTCCTAATTAAGATGAAACAATTTTCTAGTGTTTCCAAGTTTTCAATCGTCCACCAACTGATATCAGTACGTGATGAAACGTATTTCCAGGTCAATGAAAGCCTACAAACCACCAGCCGAAACATCATAATGCCTCATATGTGTAGTATACCACTAAGTGCATCATAAAATGTGTCTAGGCTTAATTCTCTGCTCAGCTTGTTGTTCTATTGTAATCCATCTCTGAATTATTATATTATTATTATTATTATTATTATTATTATTATTATTATTATTATTAGTCCCTTGGGTTCCTAATGGAACATAGGGCTTCAGTAGCACGTCTCCAGTGAACTCTGTTCTCTGAAATCTTTTGGACCTGGCTCCACGACAGCCCACAAGCTCTCATTTCCTCCTCGCACGATCTACTCCATGCCACCCTCAACACGGACGTCCAACTCGTCGCTTCCCATAGGGATTCCACTAGAGAGTCTGGCCTGACGCGTGATGTCCCCAGTCGGCTTTCTCAGTGTATGACCAATCCATCTCCACTTCCTTCTACATATTTGTTGAGCGATAGGTTCTTGGCTGGTTCGTTGCCAGAGCCCCTTGTTGCTTATTCTTATTGTTCTGGCCATCTGATCTTCAGTAGCGAGCGTAAGCAGTTGTTGATGAATGTCTCTAGTTTGTCGGAAATCCCTTTCATAACGCGCCAAGTCTCTGAACCATACAGGAGCACTGACTTGACGTTGGTGTTGAAAATCCGTATCTTGTTCCGCATGCTGAGTGCAGATCTCCACACTGGTTTCAGGTTAATGAACGCCTGTCCTGCTGTGTTTCCGATTCTGACTTTGACATCCTCGTCTGTGCTTGTGGCACCTGTAGTTGAAACAGTGCTGCCTAGATAGATGAAGGAGGTTACTTCCTTTAAGTTTCTCCCGTTCATGGTGACTGGAGTTGGTTGCTGTTGTTGGAGTTGTTGGTGCAGTATCTTCATCACTTCTGTCGTCCCTATATTCACCTGAAGTCCCGTCTTCGCTGCCTCTTCTGTCAACTTGTTAGTTTTCGCCTGTGGGTCTCGAAGTTTGTGTGACATCAGACACAAGTCATCGGCGAAATCCAGATTTTCTAGGTTCTTTTCTGCAATCCAGCCAGCGTATCCCCTCTTCTCGCTCCCCACTGTTTGTTGCATGATCCAGTCCACCACAATCAGGAATATCATGGGTGATAGTAGGCAACCTTGTTTCACTCCTGTCTTCACTTCAAAAGCATGACTGAGATTCCCATTGTGAATTACTTAGCATGTGGCGTCTTCATATAGTTGTTGAATGAGGCTGATAAAGGTTTGCGGTACTCCGTAGTAATGAAGCAGTCTCCAAATTACTTCTCGGTCGACGCCGTCAAAGGCCTTCTCAAAGTCGATAAAGTTGATGTAGAGGGATAACTGCCATTATATATTCTGTTGTATGATGATGCGAAGCGTTGCGATTCGGTCCGCACATGATTTGTACTTCCTGAAGCCTGCCTTTTGCGGTCGTAGTTTTGAATCCAGTGCATCCTTTAGCCTCTCCAGGATGATGCGGCTTAATATTTTGCTCGCATTGGCTGGACAGGAGAGTGATTCCGCGCCAGTTCTTGCAAACACTGAGGTCTCCCTTCTTCGGCAGTTTGACAAGGTAACCCTTCTTCCAATCGTCAGGTATCTTCTCTTCCTTCCACACCTTCTGCAATAGTGGTGTGGTGTGAGCATGTCCGCTGTTGTCTCTGCATCTGTTCTCAGTGCTTCTTGGGGGATTACATCTGGTCCCGCTGCTTTCCCACATTTCAGTAGCTTTATGGCGTTCAGGACTTCGACTTTTGTTGGAGGATTTATGTTCACTTGTAGTTCAGCGGCTGCAGGTGGTATTTCTAGACGAAGTGCAGGTGGTGGTCGATTCAAGAGCTTCTTGAAGTGGTCGGCCCATCGTTTCCTTTGTTGCTCTTCTTTCGTAATTAAATTTCCTTCTTCATCTTTTATTGGTTTCATCTGTGTTGATATATTCCCAGATAGCAACCTCGTTATTTGATACAAGGTCGTCAGGTCTCTCTTACCTGCAGCCTGTTCTGCTTCATTTGCCAGTGTTTCGTAGAAGTGTCTTTTGTCTTTGCGTGCACTCTTCTTTACTTCTTTGTTCACTGTAGTGTTTTATACATTGTACTCAGTTCCTCTTCTGGTTGTGCACCCCTTGCACTGGTTTATCTTCTGCTTCACCATCCTCTTCTCACTCCTCTATCAGCTTCCATGTATCCATCGAGATCCAGTCCCTGTCCTGTCTTCTTTCTTCTTCCTTCCTAATACGGCTGCGCAGGTTTCTTTCCACATCTCTTTCAAAGACTTCCAGTGTTCTTCGACATAGGTTTCTTCAAGGATGTTGCTCGATATCTCCCATTTTGTCTTGATGGCTGACGTTAGAGATTTCCTTTGTAGTTTCGTTCTTCAGTTTGTGTTCTGGGTGTTGAACTTGAACTGTGGTCTAACATCACCAACTTTTTTGAAGGCTTTCAACTTGATTTGGAAGGCATGTTCCTTGCACTAGACAGTGGTCTAGACCTACATCTGCTCCTCTTCTTCACCTGATCTTGTATCCAGTGGGCTGGCTGCGTCTCCACTTTCTTCCCATTGAGATAAAGTCGATCTGATTTTTAGTGTAGTGTGTCCTGGTGTCTGGTGAAATCGAATCCATGTCGCTTTGTGGATATCCTTGTGCTTGAACACAGTGCCTGGCCTCCAATCACCAAATCGTTGAATGCACAGAATTCTGCAAACAGTTCTCCATTCTCGTTCATTTCACCGAGTGCTTCTAGGTCCATGGTTAGTTCTCTTCCTGTGTTGTCCACTCCCAGTTTGGCATTAAAACATGTCACCCCAACAACTAGGATTTTGATATCACCAACTGACATCATTTCGCCTCTTCGATTTCAGCGAGGAATACGTTTACTTTTATTTTCGATATTTTGTTTGTGCTTTGAAGTTACTTTAGCGGTTGGATTGGTTTTACGGGGTAATGTTGCTAGCCCTATGTCCAACCTTTCTTCTTTATCCGGGCTTAGGACCGGCTAGTAACTAATGAACTAGTTAACCAGGCTAGGTTCCATGTCTAAATATTCTTAGTAAATTCCTCATCTGTCAGCCTAGTAGAAATCCAACACTTCATAATATGATGATGATTTCTTTTTCTATCCTTATTATCGCATAGTTATGTTAACAAATGCAGAAAAACAAAACGATTTATTGAACACTCCTACACACATCACATTTTCAATTGCATCACAGAATCAAAATCAGAACACCAAAACTAACTGATAGTCTGCCCTCCTCATATGACATTTCACTTCTATCAGTTCATTTTCTTCACTATCATCGATGAAAAAGCCTGAAATATGACTGACAGAAACAGCATGAACAATACGGTCTGTGTTTATCTGCTAATGATAATTTATACCATAATAAACGTTTGACATGATTTGTGATATTTCTTAAAAAGCTAAATTCACTTTGCTGTATTCGGCCTTCTTCTCATTTGTGGAGTTGTCTACATCAAGGAAGTTCAAGGCTGTAAGATATACAAAGTCCTATCTAGAGTTTGTGGAGTTGTAGTTCATCGAAGTAGGAAGTTGGATTTCAACCAATGGATCACGGATTCGAACAGTGCTCCATTCATCAAGGTTTAGTCAAGCAGGTAGTATCATTATCCCGTACAAAATAGGTGTCGTTCACTGCCTATTATAAGAACATGCACATGATTGCTGAGTGGATTTTGAGAGTTTGTAACTAACCTCTGACAGCTCAAGAGAAGACATAGGAACAAAGGGAAAAGCCGTCAGAATACTCTGATCGGTCTGATCGATCTAAAGGAAGTGTTTATTATTCTTGTTAGATCTCAGTGAATTAATTGTTGTCTATCTATAATGGACTGGACACATCAGTCTTCAGCGTAAGTGTGGCACACGAAAGAGTTAAGCGATGAAGAAGGTGCCACATCCTTTCTCATCGTTTTATCCCTCAAATGTTTCATTATTCAGGGATAAAAGTTACTCTAATTCAAGTCGATAAATGCTTTGGTCAAAGCTGAAGATAAGATTTGCACGGAGCACTACTACAAAACACCTATTCATATTCATCATTTTACACTTAATAATAAGTTTTACATACCTACGACAGAGAGTAAATAGTTTATGTGGCAGGATAACATACTTTTTCAACATGCAATCCAAGAAGTTCTACTTGTTTATAAGTAGAAAATATCTTCTCTGTATCCCCACAAAATATACAGTGTGCTCAGAGTGATCATCGACAACTTACAGTAATTCAATTAATTCGGTGTATAAACATGGGCGAATAACTAACCTATTCATAACGTCAACAGGGTAAACATTCTCCGGAAAGGCAACCAATCTGCTTTCTTACCACATAATTAATAAACAGCTGACTTTGTCAGAAATCTCTGAAAGCTTATTTATTTTATGAAGTCTGAATGAATCGACACAACAGTCAAAATAAAACGGTTATGTGAAACAAGTCCAATTCATGACAGTATACTAAATGTTAATACTCGAAACCAAAATTCTACATTCTCTTATCTTGAACACTATACTTAATACAGTGTTTGCAACAGTTGCTTCATTCAGTACTTTATTCCTAGTAAAACCACACCACTGCAAGTTCCAGTAATATGAAAATGAATTAGGAGAGTTGGGAGGTGACGATTGGACTCGACTATTCTTCATGCTATCTTTTGTATACATAAAAGTTCTTATCGAAGGAATTTATTAGCAGTTCACTGTCTAGTTTCGTTGACTGTTTCTTTTCGCTGTTACTAGAAGAAGAAGAAGAAGAAGAAGAAGCTGGTAGTCAAAATCTCAATTATTTACTTACCCGAAGGAAAGGAAATATCATCGAAAAACTCTTTCATATCGAATGCTGAATAATTTTTATTTGCAGTTATGATAATCTTCTCATCGTCTGGCCATAAACGTGGATCTGGCAGGAGGAATGCCATTGCAGGAAAAGAACGTTCAACTTCTCGGAAAGCTAATGTACTACGAAGGGGTATTCCGAAATTGTCACCTGAGAAGTAAAATGTGTTTCAAAAGTTAACATCATCTTGCCAAAGCTGTTTACTGGAATGAACACAATCTATCATGGAGTCCTGGTGTTATTATTTACAAACTGTTAACAGTCTATTAGTAATCAGAACAAAAACAAATATATACTTGAAGATATTGAGCTAAATCTTAAACAATCCCTAGGTTTTGACAACAGACCACAAGTTACTTCTCGGTAATTTTCACATGTAAACTCATCGTCAGTATCTCAAATAGAATAATCATTCTTGAGTATAAGTCAACAAATTCGTACTAGTAAATATGAATTGCATTGATCAAAGAACACCATTCGCTTGATGTTATATCAATGTATTTGGATCATTCAACTTTACAATACCGTACCAGTCCATTAAAACTCATTAGACGACCAAACTTTCTGCTTCTCAAATGATGAACAAATTGAGGATTCTAATCTAAGAGGATCGGTAAGGCAAGACAGGTTTTCATCAATTTGAAATCACTGTGTAGATCTAATGTGCACTCAGTACAAAGAATACGATCCGGATTCCCAACACCAATTCAGTCAAGTCAGTGCTTCCTATGTGATGGTTCAAAAACTTGGCACGTCACGAAAAGCACTTCCAACAAACTACAGACATTCATCAACAACTGTCTACGCTGGCTCGATACTGAAGATCAGATGGCCAGAAAGAATAAGCGACAAAGAACACTGGGAACGAACCAACCAAGAACCTATCACCCAACGAATATACAGAAGAAAGTGGAGATCGATTGGGCATACACTGAGAAGGCCGATTGGGGACATGACGAGGAGGAGATCATGTGACGAAGAAATGAAAGCTTGTGGGCAGTCATGGAGCCAGGTTGAAAAGACTGCAGAGAAGAGAGTGCAATGGAGGCGTGCTACTGAAGCCGTTTGTTCCACTAGGGAATAACTACTATAATAATCTAAAAGATACATCAAATCCTAGTTTGAGTCAATATAAATTGAAATTCGACAGAACACAATAAAAAAGTAATTTCATCATGTTGACATCATTAATCATCTGCGATAATAAACTTACCACAAGCTTCAGCATATAACGCTTCCACAGATCCACCAAACGGACCTGAAACAGATATAAATCCCTTGACATATTTTTTCTTCCAATCTTTCGTTTGACGCTTGAGGAAATACATAGAATATAATGATCCCAAACTGTGTCCAAGTAAGTATACTGGACGGTTATCGCCATTCCTATATGTCTCCTCAACAAGCTGCTTCAATTTATCAAAGTATTTAGCGTTTTCATCTGAAAATAGAAAAACACTTGAAGTAATTATCCTGCATTTTCAATTTATCACATACTCGGTGACCTGCGAAAATCGTATGGTGCAGCACGTATTGTCTTATTTCGCACAAAATATCTATCTTCAGCCAAACCATCAACAAGTTGCTTCATATAACTTGATAGAGCATATTTTTCTTCAGTTAAATATTCACTTGCCCATGTATCACCAAAACCAGGGAATTCAACATCACAGATACCGCGTTCATGTGTTGTTTTCGACGTAGGGTTATATGATAGTCTATATACATTCAGTACAGTATTGATACGTGAAAGTGATTAGCCTCACCCCATATAAGATAACAACTTTTCAGGTAGAAGGAAGTATAAAACTCGAATCCATACGATAAAGCGTTTCGTGTGTGATTCAGAGTCTCTCAGTCGACAGTGTGCTTGTGTTCCTCCGATTCCATGTATTAGTATTATTGGATATCGCTTAGCCTCCTTCAAATATAAATATTTTGTTTGACGATATGGTGATGTAAATACTCCGTTAAACAAATATATCTAAAAATAGTTATTCAAAAGATGGAGTAGAAATGTATAATTTTACTTGAAATATCATAAGTTTCATTGTGAATATCATCATCAGTGTCAATGACAAAGCTGATTTTCTCATATTTTATTCACTTTCATTTCATTCTGAGCATAAATAAATATTATAAGCCTAGTGACTAACTTAACTGCCAATCAACTGGTTTCACTAATGAGTAGTTCATTACGTGGGTGAGTATCTTCTTTTAACAGCAAACCATCAATTATAGCAACATTGGGTACTGACCAATGAACAGAAACGTTTCACACAGTACAGACTGAACAATTAATTTGAGCAATCATTGAGTGAAATCCTAGGCTAATATTAACCAATATTTTTCACAAATGTATCTTGTTATTCCTGTCTATTGATTTTTGTCTATCTCCCCTGTAGTTTGTGCATATCAAAATGACTAGTCTTGCAGACAGTTACGTGATGTGAATTGTAGAGTCATGGAAAATCTTTCACGGAAGCTATATAGATTGAAAAACAGCAGTGGAATATAATATGACTTTATCAACTATCCTAAATATCCTCATAACGACTATTACTTCTTTTGACATTTGAAATATTGTAGTCGATCTGCAGCTGATGAAACTTTCTAAAATAAAATGTGACTTCTGTTTCCTCTTGCAACTGCTGTTCTCCTTCTATTTTAAATAAACGAAATTTCGTTAACAAACCCAAGATAGTGTTCACATTGTCAGATAATAATTCCAATCAATTTTAAGTAGAGCTGAGAGATTGTCTTTCAATTGTACACTTACAAAATGGTTAATCAAATAATGAAAATCATGTGACCTTCTTTTGGCTTTCGTGAGTTTTCATTCTCGATTAATCTACATGTCTCCAGCTGACTACTCTAATCAATATAGTCTCATAGTGGTTATCTAGCTTAATAAACCAGTTCATTCGGTCTAATGGGCTAACTGAAATTCTTCATCACACAAGCTATACTTTTAGAAAGTCATTAAGTAGGAATAATACTTTAATCAGAGTTGTATGCTGACACCATTGAGGTTGTGAATTCTACCTTTCTTGCAGCTCAACTTTCCCAAAGAAGATAGGAAATGTCTTCAAACTATAAAACAAGATTTCAATGTTGTGGTATAATCCGGATAAGGTTGTGGACAATAAATCGTTTATGAAATGTTGACAGTATTCGACACAGTCATCAGCACAGTGAAAATCTGTAAATAAAAGTATATCTTGAGAAATTCCTCAACTCCTGCTTTTACACTGATTTCAAAGCGTTCACTTTGAAAGTGTGCAATTCTTCTTCAAAACCATTTTATCATTAATTTTTGAAAGTAATTGATAACGGGTTTGAATTTTGATAGGAATATGCGGAGGAAGCACTTGTACTTCTTTCTCCCAAATTGGTTATTACTTTGATCTCGAATTTCTTAACCAGTGATTTAGAGATAGTATTCATCATATATTGACATTAGTTGGGGAACCATTGAGACTCTGGAGGCACCGGATATCTGTTTCGTCTTAGTATGGGACTCCTCAGCAGAAAGCACCTACGATAGAGCTAGGGATTGAACTCAGGAGCTGCAGGTTTCACGCGAACGTGCTTACCACTCAGCCACTGGGTCGGTTTGCACTAGGTTCACTATTTCCAACCTCTGCCAATTCACTATATAGCGTGACTATTACCCAATATATCTACCAAGTAATCCAAGATATATGATATAGCTGAAGCTATTAGAGAACAGACTGCTCGAATGAAAAACTGAAATTCTTATCTGATTTTAAAGAATAATATGTGTAACAAGTATGAAACGGGTGCTCATTATTTACGTCTATCAAAACGAAAAAGAAAAGCCTTAAAAGTTTTGAAAGTAAACAAATATCAGTAATATGATTACTTTCTCGTCAAAGTTCGCATCAATTTATACTCTGATTAGGATTTTTTTAACGCTAAATAACTTTCGAAATTGTGCAAACAGTCACTGTCACTTAATTTCAATACTACTGAAGTGACAGGTTATATGGAAAAAATGTATTCATTGGTATAAATTGAATGAAGAGGTTGTGAAAGATGGTAATTGTGGTCAATCAGTTGACTAAATTTCAGATGTGAGGTTGATGAGTGCCTATTGACACTGCAAGTGAAATACATTTTTCTCTGGATTAGAAATATTTTTCATGAGCATTATCGATGAGACTACATCCATTCTCTATCTTAATAGTATTAAATACTTTAAACTCCCAATAATGAAAGCAGTAAATAATACCCTTAAGAGTATTGTAATTAATGTCATTGAAAAATAAATGTTCATTAGCTAAAGTCTTAAATTACTTAACTTTTCTAATAGGTAGATTTACTAAAACGAGTTTGACCAAAATCTCTACTACTTACCGTTTTGGAAACTTGTAATAAAGCACATTTAATCCCATATTTATATCCCATTTTTAAAGAAAATCAAAGTTGTGCACACTATCTTACAAACACCTACCTATTTGCATAGAATCAATAGATGTGTAATTTTTATTCACTTCAATGGAGGTGATATCCGTTTGTTTGTTTTCACTTCACTTCCCATTATTCAGTAGAACTTCAGAAACACCTTACTGTAGTATACCTGATATACAGACGACAGACAAGAATTACTAGGAATTTTAACTTTGTCATGATTACATTAATGCTGTGTAAATAACTTTTTTCAATGTCCCAATACCAATTAATCTTGCTTTATTTTACATTCACTGGGAAGTACAAATGTTAAAATAATGAATGTCATTTATCTGATACCCTAATGTTTTAAAAACCATAAAACCCCAACTTGGTATATATATATATATATATATATATATATATATATATATATATATATATATATATATATATATATATATATAGTAATAATGGAGTAACGAAATTAATATGCCAGTTTTTGCTTCAAATCAGATATCAAGCGTGAATATTTTTAGCGTGAAGTTTGCTTGCTCAAGCTTCAGAAATTTCTACTATACTTCAAGTATATAAGTATTTTCAAGTTCGCATAATTCCATTGAATAGTGTAAACAAGATTTTCAAGTTCATGTGACCTAATTTAACGTTTTGGAATTCACCATCTATGAAGCTGGAAAATGTGACTAGAATATAACTTTCAGGTATGCAATACTCGCATTTGATTTAGTTTCAAGCATATTCTTTATCATTATGTGAGATTAGGCTTTTATTTAGGAATCTATATGCCAACAGTCATATAACTATTATCTAATCGTCAAACTTTCCTGAGGACTAGTTAATTTCAAGGTCATATTCGTCAGAGACTAAGATCAGTTGGATAACTGTTGAAGACGTGACAGTACTGGAAAGCTGTTTTGTCATAGTATGGGACTTCTTAGCAGTATGCACCCACAACCATTACCAGGGATCAAACTGAGGAGGTCTCGCCATTCAACTACTGGTTCAGAGTTCAACGGGCCACATTTTCCCATTTCTGTCAGTTCGTGATATAGTGCAACGATCCAACAAGATTTCTAGTTGGTATTCATTTCACTTGCAGTTGACTAGCCCCACAGGTAACGGGTACTCATTGAAACATCTGGATGTCCATCCTTAAACATGTTACTAATGAGTACTGGCTAGTTAACAGAAAATATTAGTCAACTGTAAGCCAACCAATAAATTCTTTGAACATCTCAACATTTAGTACTTCAACCTCTACGGAATGATCAAGCTCATCTAGATTTCAGAATCAAGCTTAATAAGGCAGATCTGAAAATATCATCTTCAGTAATATTTTAGTACAAATGCTGAATTTAACTCTTAATTAAATTGGAGTTTTCTTAGTTTCTAATGTAATTTACTAAATATCGTGATTATCATCACTTATTTGTATTTTCAATTTCACCTTGTTATCCAGAATGGAATTGACCAACCTGTATTAGTATAGAGAATTTTATGTGGATATCTTAGTCTTGTCCGAAGGCTATGATGTTATTTACAGTGGTGGCTAGGAATGAAATAGAAGACGTGGAGTATTTCCTTTTCAGGACTTGTCAGCAATACTACCTAAGAAATATCTTCAACTAAGCTTTTTCCATATTTCACCATAATAATAATCATTATTATTTGTCCGTTGGGTTCCTAATGGAACATAGGGCTTCAGTAGCACGTCTACAGTGCACTCTGTTATCTGCAATCTTTTGAACCTGTCGCCATGACAGCCCACAAGCTCTCATTTCTTCTTCACACGGTCTCGTACATGTCACCCTCGGACGCCCAACTCGTCGCTTCCCCTCTGGATTCCACTCGATGGCCTGGCCTGAACAGTGGTGTCTCCGAATGGTCTTCTCAGTGCATGCCCAGTTCAATCCATCTCCAATTCCTTCTGCATATTTGTTGAGCGATAAGTTCTTGGTTGGTTCGTTGCCAGCCAGTCAGAGTTCCTTGTTGCTGATTCTTTCTGGGTATCTCATGTTCAGTAATGAGCCAGCGTAGTCAGCTGTTGATGAAAGTCTGTAATTTGTTGGGAATGCCTTTCGTAACACGCCAATTCTCTGAGCCATACAGAAGCACTGACTTCACTGAATTGGTGCTGGAAATCCAGATCTTGTTTCACATGCCGAGTGCAGAAGATCTCCACACTGGTTTCAGGTTAATGAAAGACTGTCTTGCTTTTCCGATCCTGGTTGGCTTTGACGTCCTCGTCTGTGCCTGTGGTGCCTGTAGTTGAAACAGTGCTACCTAGATAGGTGAAAGAGGCTACTTTCTTTACGTTTCTCCCATTCATGGTGATTGGTGTTAGTCGTTGTTATTCTTGCTGCTGGTTAGATATCTTCATCACCTCTATCTCTGTCTTCTCTACGTCCACTTGAAGTCCCGTCTTCGCTTCCCTGCATCACCTCTTTTGTCAACTTGTTAGTTTTTGCCTGTAGATCTTCAAGTTTGTGTGACAGTAGAGATAAGTCATTGGCGAAATCCACATGTTCCAGGTTCCTATCTGCGGTCCAGCCGGTGTATCCCCGTCTTCTCGCTCCTCATTGTTTGCCTCATGATCCAGTCCACTACAATCAGGAATATCATCGGTGAAATTAGACAGCCTTGTCTTAATCCTTCATATCTTCACTTCAGTGGCATCACTGAGCTTCCCGTTGTGAATTACTTAGCATATTTCACCATAAAGTGAGTTAAATGAAGGAAGAATTGATGTCTTTTCTTGTTAATATCTAAGGATTTCTGTTAAAATGAATTATCTAAATAAGTTTTTAAAATAGATATCAGTATTTTGCTTTGTTTGAAAAAGCTTAGGGTTTTATGATCATTTTACTGAAGAAGAAAAACAACATAAAATGACAAATCTGAGCAAAAATGTTTTTCAGTCTGGTGTTTTGAATGACAATTATGTTTTCCTAAAAGCGAACTG